ATTGATCAAATTTCTTATAATTCTGTGTAATATTTAGGAGGATCTATTGACAGAAATGCAATATAATAACTGTTTTCAGTGGTGTATAAAGACTTTACATAATGAACCTTTATGTTTTTATTACCTTAGAAAGAGCCATTTCTATCTACAAACACCACGGGTCCTCTTACATGGACATTGCCATGTTGCGCCACCATGTTTCTACAGTAGCCCAACTGGACAAATGGTTCAGAGATTGTTTCATCACTACGTATGTACATAGAAGAACAAGAAGTAACGTTGACGTGGACAAATGGAGGCCCACAGAAATAATTTAGCACAAAAGCCAATAGAGATTGTCGGCCACCGTAGCTTCTCCTGGGCGCTTGGAAAGGGAGGGGTAAGCGGTGCATTCATGTGGTGTCTGAATAATCAGAAGCTTTTTTACTCCTTAAATCTTTATTGCAAAAAGAGAAATAAAGTATACAAGGGATGTAAAGAAGTATACTCTAGTTGATTTGCTGTCCATGTACAGTGAACTAGATGTCGGCTTGGTGTTCCAACTCTGATAATGCTAATTCAACACTTTGTACATCTTTGTAGTAGCGTCCATGTAGTCCATGTCCACATTCTGATTTAATAGCGCATTAACATACTGAAGTCGGAAGAACAACTTCACAACTAGGGAAATGGGACCATCCGAGGAGCACTTGAATGCCCCGTGAGCCAAAGATTGCAATTCACAACCTTCACCACTAGATGCCAATAAAACTTACACACTGAACCTAAGAAATTTTATTTAAAGGGGCTATATGTAGTTTTTCAATTAAATCACTTATCAATAAATTACTTTTTTAGAGCCTATTTGTCCGCAGGCTTTAACCAAATCCCTGTTTCCTCTGTTGGTTGGAACAGTCACTATTCTGCTTGTTATGTGAAGGAACTGGGTTGGATTTTCTGCATGCTACCTCCCGAGCCCACAGTGACAACACTGTAGCTAACGAAATGGAGTCCACTAACACCATAAAATGACCAGGGTTCTTGCGCCATTTTAAAAGTGGAATTTAATACTTTTTAAGACCTTTTAGGACCTCAACAAATATAAATTGAAGACCACAAATCTTGAAACAATTTTTTTGATAGAAAAGAGATGCACGTTTGATCTCTTAATGATGAATGACTTTGCATATTACGAATTGGGGAACATAGAGGCTGTGTACAACTTGCATTAAAATGTATTTTGGGTGATCTGATTGTGATCGGGTAGCACTTGACCACATGCAAGTACATGTGTAAATGCACCCGAGATGCACTGAGGACAGATGTGATCCAATCAGCAAAACGACTTCTGGAGGTGGTCAGGGACACCATGACCACATGGATGCAAATGCATTGTCTATCCACATACAATGACTGGGCGGAAATATGTACCAGTCGCAGTCTTAAATAAAAAACAACAGTCTGACAGCGCAGACAGGCGCCTAAACAGTGTCAGTGTTGTGCATAAACGTGCTCAAACAGTGCTGATTATTGATCACACTCATGTTTTTGGTGAGCTGATCGTGTCTGTGAACATGAACTAGGGCTGGACAATTAAACAATAATTGTCGCGATACAATCTTCCTCAATAACAATATAACAAATGTTCAATAAATATTTGATTTAATTAATTTGAATCACAAACGAATTAGCACTTTATTTTCTATTAAGATATTTATTGTGTTGAGGAAAAGGGACTGAAAAAAGATTTTACTTTATTTTTCTCATGCATATTTGTTGTTTTGCATGTTCTACCTTTGATACCAAGCTGCTTTTTGGCATCAAGTATTTGTCATGTTCTGACCATAAAGAAAAGTTTAAAAGCACAATTAACCATCTGGCTTCTTTAACTTTAACTGTACTCAGGAGCAAAAATCACCCTCTAAAGTTATAATAAAAACAAAAAGATTAAATATTTATTTGACTATTTTTGTCCATATCGCCCAGCCCTAACTCATGTATGTACACCCTGCTGTGTAAAACTAAATATAAACTACAATAATAACAGAAAAGAGTAACTTACACATTATAAAGAAAGGTAGCAAGAAAAAGTTTCACTTTCCGGCTGAGCTAATCCACAGGCGCACCGCTAAATAGGTGATCCATGGAGGAAAACAAATCACAGTGAAAGACATAGGCAACTTTAGAAAGTTATTTTAACCTGTAGTTATAGATAATTTTTTAGACCTGCACAAATGAGAGGAGGACGTGATGTAGGCTACAGTTGTTTGAGCTAGACAGAACTATCAGATCTTCCTCCAACCACTAACTTGCGTCTCCCAATCTTTCAGCCACAACTGACTATAATGACACGCAGCCAGACGTCAACATCTGCAGCTAACGTAAACATAACATTGTCAATTACTAAAAAAAAAAATAAATCATACAATTACACACTAATTAGGTGTTTTAGTCGACTGTCTCACCGCCTTAAACGCACCATCGGCAAATTTAATACCTACAGCAAATCTACGGTCAATTTAAGACCTTAATTTCCCCGATTTCAATTTAAGACCTTTTAAGCCGCGTGAACCCTGATGACTGGCTCCCAGCACAGCACAGACTCTAACACAAACTCCACATATGAGTGTGAATGTCTGGCCAAATTTCAACACAATCTATCCAGTAGTTTGAGACATTTCACACTGAACCAAACATGTAAACTTCATAGTGGAACCTGAGGAAAAGTCAGGTGATCACCTAAATCTTGGAACATGAATGTCTGTACAAGACAGGTGCTGAAATATAAATCAAAGTGATGAATGGCATATATTCCAAATTTCCATCCCTTGAACAGTGTCACTACTGTAGCTAAGAAATGTTCAGTTATTGTGATGGCACACTACAGCCTCCATATACAGTACACATCTGAGGATAGAAGCAGTGATTAATGTGTTGGTATTACAGAACCTTGCACTTGCAGTACAGATTTTCATAAAACATCATGGGGGTCTGTAAAAAATAAATAAATAAAACAATAAAAATGTTTATTCAAGACTTTTAGCCTTTTATTCTTATAGGTCATCAAATTACTGGGGACCTTAACACGACCCACATAGAACAAAACTTGATGGTAATGGAAGTGACAGGATCCACTCTGGGAATCCTTGGAATGGGTGTTTTGAACGTCTATTTCTCAGTGGACCCCTAAGTAATAACAAGGACATTTTTAAGATGAACAGGGATAACAGTATGTGAAAATAAGCTATTAATCAATGTATTACACTTTGATTTATCCATGTATATAAATGTGCAGACCAACAAGGAAATGGACCCGAATGCAGACTCGGAGGAAGAGCTGGAGTCAGTTCAATGATTTAATGCAGTCAATGACCAAAAAGCTTAAAGGTATGGTGAAGCAGGCAATCCAGAGAAGCAGTCCAAGGAAGCCATACATATCCAACAGCGGACAGGCAAGAATCAAAATCCAATTAACAGGCAAGGTCCAGGAAAACCAAGTCAAAAGGCTGGAACACTTGACACATGGGACAAAGACGATCTGGCACCAAGACAAGGGAACACACAGACTAAATACACTAAAGCTGATGATACACGGGGCAACTTTTTGAGCAATGTTGCTGGGCAATCTTGCTGGTGGCGGGAGAAGGGGATTATGGTAGTAATCTTTAATCATTACCATTGACAGCAACATTGCCCAGCAAAATTGCTCTAAAAGTTCCTCCGTGTATCATCAGCTTAAGGAAGGATAGTGATATTGAGGGACGGGTGAATCACACATCACATAGGTGGGAAAACACACCGACAGGAAGTGAAGTAAGAATAGTAAAACTACATAAGGGAACTGCATTCACCAAAGAAAAATAAATACATGACTTCTGTTTCTCATAACTGGAAGACGAGAACTATAAGAATCTAGCCTGACTCTGTCCAAAGGTTAAAGTAAAATCCATCCACCAGCACCCCTAAAGCTCACTAATAAACGCATCATATCTTGTTTGTTCCATCTGTACAAAAACCAAAGTGAACTTTGGATGTACTGGTAAGTGGATTTTTTTCACTTTTGTAAACATTTGACAGAGCCATGCTAACTAATCGATTAACAGAAATGTATAGACCAGACACCGGCATAATCTCTGAAACTACCTGGAAATTTTGCTTCTGCTTCTTGTTGGCTTTACTGCTATTCAGCAGGGGTGAAGAAGAGCAGGCCGTTGGAACAAGTTACTGTGAGAGTCTGGATGACCTGCTCAGGAGGTCAGACTTTGTCCGGCTTCATTTAAATACAACAAATGTTTCTTTAACTGGAAAAACACGACTTTGACACATCATTAGTCTACAGACAAACACAGTATGCATAGACATGAGGTATTCGGGGATCTCAAAAATAATCAGAAAATATATCAAAGTCAGTATCGTTCATTCATTTAAAATGTGATACAGTTGTTCTCAATTTGGGGTCAGAACCCAGTTTAACAGTCCATTTCTGCTAGACACTACCATACATATGCAGGTACAGTATATCTTGTACTGCTTTTGTCTTCTTACTTTAGACGACTTCACATAACGCACGTCTAAGTCTCTCCTTGGTTGAGTACAGTAAAATTTATGAATATGTCTCAAATCACTACAGACATTATTTGTATTAAACTAAGACCATGATCTTTCCCAAACAAAATGTAAAATGTACAGCATCAATAAATGCAGCTTGGACTTTTTCCTGGAACTTTCAGCCGCAACATACACATTATAACTTCATCTGCTGATGAAGACTGCAAAGCTCCAGAAACAAAGCTAGTGTTAATGGGGGCCTGTTAAAAAAAGATGCTTCAAATTTTGCACCTTCCACACTTTACTTTAATGATACTAGTACAACATTATCTCTGGTGTACTGTAGTCATATATTATTAGTTAATAACAAACTGAGCATCCCATTCTTCCCCCTGCCAGCTCTTTATGCCACAAGGTGAATATCACCCTTGGTATAGTTTTAACATTAGTTTACCATGTTTAATCTTCAACTTCATCCATTGAAAATGACACAACATTGATAAAAGGTTTAAAACAAAACAACCTCCAAGCAATCAGCTTCTACCTGATCAGTCTGAAGAAACAGAAGGGTTGAAACTCAAGCTTCGGTTAAAATGGTGAGTCTTTCTTGTGAAACTAACTAAATCAATGTTTTGGTAATTTCATAACAGAACTGTGTAATTTGGTAATATTGGATGGATAGTTTCTGTCACCCCATGAAAATATTCTTTATTATTGGAAACTACATTTGATATATTTTTAATTGTATGCTTGCTTATTGTCAAATTTAACATTTTTGCATGTTCACTGCGTTAATTAAACACTCTCTCTATTTTTAGTCAAATAACTAATAAATGAAGTCCTTTTGTTATTTCACACCAGGCAATGAAGGAGGAAAAACCATGGGCATTGGTCTCAGAGATAGGGGGCGAGCATGGTTACCTTGAAGAGCTAGCTGACATAGTAAAGCAACACTTTCAAATCATCTGCTATAGAGAGTTTCTACAAAACCCAGTGCTTCATGGCCACAAAATCCAGGCCCTGTTAATGTGGAAGTACTGCCCTGCAGCTGAGCCTTCGTTGCTCAAATTGCTTCCCTCCCTCAAAGTGGTTGCGAGTGGAGGGGTGGGCATTGACCACCTGGATGTGCGGTTTATCAACAGTCTCGGGGTAAAGGTGGCCAACACTCCAGGTGTAGTCAGTGACTCCACTGCAGATTTAGCCATGGGTCTGCTTCTGGCATCAGCTCGCAAGATCCTTGAGGGTGAGATCAAAGGTTAACCAATGCAAAACAATTTTCATGTAATTCCATAACCAACACCTACAGCTCCTTACTCTCACACAAGTTCATCTGTGTCAGTGTGCATACCAATTTCAGGGCTTATATATTATCTCAGAGGAGTAAATGGATTCTAACTTATCTACAATTTTTAGATGGACATGCAGAATATTTGTTACTAATGATTGCATTTTAACATACATATTGAAGTGGTGATAATTAGCACCTGTTTGTTTTAATTGTTTAATCATATGATATGCCTAAAAAATCCCTGACTTTGTGCAAGTGTACCAACATAAATTGATGCTGTTTTGAAAGCAAAGGGTGGTCACACCAAATATTGATTTGATTTAGATTATTCTGCTGTTCACTCACTTTGCACTTAATAAACTAACTTGATAAATATAATCTATTACCATGTCTATTTTTGAAAGCATACCTTCTGTTGGTGCAGCAACAGTTTATTTAGATCTTTTTAATTTATCCTCATAGGTCATCAAATATCTATGGACCCCCAGACCATAAACATACCACAAAGTCTGATGGGAGTTGAAGTCACAGGGTCGACTCTAGGGATCATTGGAATGGGAGAGATTGGTTACAAGATTGCCCAAAGAAGCAAAGGATTTGAAATGAAAATTCTGTATCACAACAGGACCAGAAGGTAAAAAAAACAAAATTGAGCCGATTTTTAAATTAGAATGCAAATGACATTTTACATTGTTGATCACAAGGTTCTTTACCCTGTGCGAATACACTACACACACACACACACACACACACACAGGAATCAAACATGCCTGAACAGGAAATAGTGACAGTTTCCAGCTAAAGCTTAATGAGTTAGCATTTTTACAGGGTAAACTGTACCAACCAAAGCCATGTTTTTGTTGTGTTAAAAAAATAAAAATAAAAAAGCTGATTTCAAAACAACGAGCGTATGAATCTAAAAATGTTAATTTATTCATTTGTTATTCTATTCAGGACTGCAGATGATGAACAGGCAGTTGGAGCAAGTTACTGTGACAGTCTGGATGACCTGCTGAGGAGGTCAGACTTCGTCATGATAGCTGTCAAATTGACGTCGGACACAACAGGCCTCATCGGCCACAGAGAGCTGTCCCTCATGAAACCCACAGCAATACTGGTCAACATCAGCAGAGGTGGGAACAATATGTTTTGCGACTGCATTGACCTTGATTCCTGATTGCTGGTTCAGGTTAATGATAAAGCTCTTTTCATGTCTCAGGTCAAGTTGTGAACCAAGATGCCTTATTTAAAGCTCTCCAGTCTGGAACGATTCATGAAGCGGCAATAGATGTGACTCATCCTGAACCTTTACCAAGGTCTTATATCTACTGAAGATACATTATGAGACCAATCAAAAAGAGAATCACATTCTCAAGCTAGAATGATACACAGTATACAGTATATTATACCCTGCTCACTCCTAACAGCTCTTCTGCGTCTTCTTATTTAGGGATCATCCACTCCTTGGCCTGCCTAATGTGTTGATCACCCCCCACATTGGGATCAGTACCTACAGTACAGCTCGTAGGATTGTGGAGAAGATGGTAGAAAATGCCCTGGCTGCAGTGAAGGGCTTACCTGTTCCAAATGAAGTCAAGCATCACTGACCAAAGTGTTCACAAACTGCACCATCATTGTTATCTTTCTGCAGTGGGTGTGCTGAATTGTTCATAGTTTAAGATATTTAAAAAAATAAAATGTCAACATAAGCAGTTGAAACAAGTCACTTTATTTAAACTCACACCAAGTGTCTCTCAACACACTTTACAATAGCAGCCCATTCAGAATGACAAAAATGTCTTGAAGTAAAATACTATAGAAAATAATCATTTTATTTAAAATGATTGAATTCCCCACTGTTCACTTTTGTTTGTCTAACACACACTGCCCCAGAACAGGTAAGAACCCACAAGCACAACACAAACCATCAGGGTAGCATTCAAAGGTTTATTCCAGAAAACAGGCAAGTTAGAACCAGATGATCCATCACAAAAAGGGCAAAATTAACTGACAGGGATTAGACAGAATCAGGGTGCATCCCTAGTCTCTTAACTGCATCCACATTTCCCTCACTTGGGAAGACAAGGAAACCATGCAAGGAGGGAAGAAACGAGGAAATGTGTTTTTAGAGAAATTAGCAACTTAAGGTTCATGTGAGGATTGAGGAGCAAGGAAACAACAAATAATAGACTTGAGATGCACCAACAGAGTCCAGGAACTCAAACAAAGGCTCAGATGGGAGTTTTAGGAATCAGGACGGATGTGCTGGAAAGTTTAGCATAATGCAAAAAAAATAAATAAACAGTCGGGCAAAGAATTAACAGTCATGGAGTATATATGCTTAGGGACTAATGAGGGAATGAGCTGCAGATGTGGAGAGAGGCAGTAAAAACCCGGTGTAGAGAATGAGGTAATCAGTCTGACATGAGGGAGTGGCATGATCTGAAATGACAGGAGAATTAGTAACCACAAACATAAATGAGAAGACTGAATTAATTAAGAACATAGGGTGATCAGGAAGGATTCATGACAGTTTGTGTGTTTTCTGGTCAGTGTTGTACGTGGGATGCTTGGTAGTGGCATGTTGTTTAATGGTCATTTCTTAATCAATGTTTGATTTAATTTGAGATGATGTTTATTGTGCTAAAATGAGATTTCCTGTAATATCAAAACATCCCAAGATTGACAAATTACTCATTATGTCTGTGTCATCATTCTACAAACTGAGTATTTAAAACGGTTGTTGGTTAAATCCACAGTGATATGAAGCATGAGATGGAGCATGTTTCTATATTAACATCTAACTGAAACTACACTCTTTTCCCCCCAACCTTAATCAAAGTGCTTTTGCTGCTTAAATTTAACCACATGCGGGACTCAAGATGTGTGCGCCTAAATGAGACTCTTGAGGCCATGTGTGTGAGTGAATGTAGCAATGGGGACAGACAACAGTAAGGCTGCCACTCACTCCCTATCTATAATTGTATTTTAAAAAAGGGCACGCTGTCTAGAAATGAAGGGCACCCTTTCAGCAGGCGGCCCACACAAGCCTCCCTGAAGCCCACAGAGCGCCTGACTCCGACTGGCCTTTTCCCTCAAGGCTGCTCCTATAAACTGTGAAGGTGATCCTGATGGTGTGAGCTACGTTAGTCCAACACTGATGTGACCTCACTGAAAACTGCATGTGTCCTTGAGATCTTTTGATTGCCCCACACCTCCTTAATTTCATTTACTCAAAGGTCTTTTCCTTTTATGCATTATGCAGTTATGTTAAAATCACCCCACCTCCCCTAGAGAAATAAATCCAGTCCGAATGGGGCTTATTTCTACATTTGTTTCTCCATTTTATCTCAGTTTGAAATCTTCAATCCCCTATGCATTACAGTCTTATCTGTGGATTTATTAAATATATTAAATTTGGGCTCTATATTTCACTGTAGTCTTTTTTTTTCTGCACTCTGCTTCCTTCTGCTCTCCACTCAGAGTCTCTAATTTTAATGACATACAGTGATAAATAATCAGTCTAGTTAACCAACTACATGCTAATCATAATGGAAAACTTCACATATGCGCCTCACAGCAACCGCTCTCTTAGTTTATTTTGCACCTTTTTGGCTGCCAGTTATTAGTCTAGATCCTGCCTTACCTGTCCTGTTTGTCTTTAGCTCCTTTACATTTCATTACTCACCTGATCAGTGCCCGCCTGCACACCTGCCCTTCATTGCCCCTAATCAGTCACTCCCTATATATAGCTGCACCTCTAGGCCTAAGGCCCAGTCACACAAGAAAGTGGCACAGTGAAATTTATCTGGGTGAGTCTAGCAGCTTGGTGACATAGTGACTAAATGCAGACTAGTTGGTAAACTAATACAATGATTATACTTCTTATTATACTCCGAGCATGTGAGGGTCCATGTGACAAAAAAAATTGTCATCAGAGGGCGACTAGCATTACCAGGGCACCAACCGATCTCCTGCGCATGTATGGAACATGTCCGCCAAGGTGACTGCAGAAAGTAGTACAAACAAAATTAGTCCGCATCCGCCCGTGTCCACATCCGCTCCCGAGTATATTCGAGGCTTAATGAATCTAGTGAGCTAACCACTAACATACTAGCCACCCAGGAACCTGTACTGTTGACTAAATGCCAACCGTCAAGGGTGTTCTGAAAAGTGAAATCAATGTGGAAGTGCCTTAAACCTACATTCTTTCTAACGTCCAGCAGTCGGTGACTCCACTGGTTGCAAGAAGTCAAATTGCATTGGAGTCAATGACAAAATGGCTGTCCTTCCCACTTGATTTATTACCATAGTAAACAGTTTCCTAATGAGCTTCTGGTCTCAATCACTAGTTTCAAGACTTCAATACAGCATAATATTCATTTTATAAATTGAAACCATGGTTCTGCTAGAGGTTTCTGCCTCTTAAAAGGAAGTTTTTCCTTGCCTCTGTCGCCTAGTGCTTGCTCTTGGTGGGAATTGTTGGGTTTCTGTAAATAACATCAGTGTACAGTCTACATCTGCTCTTTTATGAAAAGCGCTATGAGATGACTATTGTTGTGAATTTGCGCTATATAAACTGAACTGAATTGAATAAAGCAGGCCAGGGTATGCTTTAGGATGTAGCTACAAGTCACTACCACGGTGACCTGTCAATCATGATGGAGGTGAATCCACTGCACTGTGAGATGGGGGTTTTTGTACGACGTTTGATGCTTTCAGAGTTTTTTTTTTTTTTTTTTTTTAGTTCATGAAAGTTAATTTCTAGCCTTTTGGTTACCTAAAACTGTCTTGTTCAGCATTGGGTTCTAAGACACTCTAAGCTCAGCTCTTTATTTTTTAAGTACATTTTGGTTTAAGCCTGTTTTTTTGCCAGCAAGTAATGTGATAAAGTAATATCACATCTTAACCAAGCTAGCTCTCTGCAACCTCTTGTTCTGGTTCCTAAAAATCAAGATGGTGACTGCCATTTTGCCAAATTTGAAACCGTAACATTAGTCCACAAACCAATGGGTGACTTTTGCTGGCTATGCTCACTTCTTTATACAATCTATGCTCCAAACACAGCTTATCCAGCCAAGTGACAGCTGATACTGGACCACCAACGTGCACTGTAAGACATGTCTTTACCCAAAGAAAGGGAAATTGCCAAGAAAGAAAATTAAGAGAAAGCAATCTGGGAAAAGCTTTTGACTAATATCATTCAAAAGAAAGCTGAGCAGTTGTCTAGATCAAAGGCAGTCAGCCAGGAATCTACCTTGGAGCATATATGCATTGTATAACTTAATATACAACTGATAATAAATTAATCAGTATCATAAATTAATCAACATCATAGCTACAACATGAACATTACCTAGCAAAGCTTAACCTAATGAAACACATGGCCCTCAGTTTCAGAAACAGCCACCCAGAGTGGAGCAGCGTGGCAGGTCCCTCATTTGTTACCGATGGCGTGAGAAAAGATGAGCTCATGAAGTGGTTACTAAAGTTATTACAAATAAAGGGTGGTATGACATGAGTTGTTTAACACATCTAGATGTGAATACCATGAAATGAGAGCTGAAATTCTTCTTTTGATCTTAAACCTAAATGTCTTCAGTGAACAACAAAAACAAAGGAATTTGCCTTACCGTTCCAGGGGACTGTATACCCACAAAAATGCACCTTCTGAGCAACAGGTTAACATATATAAATCTGTTTTCTGAACAGGTATCAGCACAAACGATTTTATTTTCAGGGAGCAGCATCAACAGTCTATGATCAGTAGCAAGTGTCCCTGTTAGTGAGGTAAAGTGGTCAAGCACAAGGTGTAGCGGCAAGTGGGCGCGTTCCCATGACACTGACGCGGTTGTGCTCAGTAACGCGCATTACAACGCATTTCAACCCGAAGTGAAGTGGTGTGTGTGTGTGGGGGGGGTTGTTTTGTTTTTTTAATAATTCACCAACACTGACAAACATTTCAGCACCAGAAAAACAAATCTATGAGTGAAAGACTAACCTTTTTTCCTGTTGCAGGAAGATTGTAGGCAGGGTGCAAACTATGTGGGAGCTCGGCTCCTTTTACCAAGACGGTAGCTCCCCTGATCGATCATGCGTAAATAGATTTCTATTGGCTATATGTGAAAATTAATAATCAGTGACGTTATGCTGCTGTACCTCCATGCGTAAATACACACAGCGTCTTTTAATCACAAGGTAAATTTTACTGACAAAGACCCACCCGATCTAGATTAGGTAGGTTCTAGTTTATATCTAGACTAGATATAAACTAGAACCCACCTATGCAGCACATCTTACTATTACAATAATGCGCCCATGAAACAGCAGTGAAAGTAGCTCAAATGTAACGCAAAAGTAGTGTTAAGCATTACAATTCAGAGACAGTAATATTGTAATATAACTAATTACTCTCAAATGACAGTAAATAGTAATTTATAATGTATTACATTTTGGAAGTAACTTGCCCAACATTGTCCAAATGTAAGTAAAAGTAATGATTTTTCTCTTAAAAAATACTCAAGTAAGAGTAAAAGTTTGATGCATTAAAACTACTCTGACAAGTACAATTTACTTTTTAAAAAAGTTACTTGAGTACATGTAACAGAATAAATGTAACTTATTACTACACAAATCTATGAGTGAAAGACCTCTGGCTACACCACTGCCAGCAGGACAATAATTCCTCACAATTTATTCAGGAGACGTTTGGATGGTAATAAGACTGTGCCTTTGGTGTGAGAGACCAAGGTTCAACTCTCCACTGTGACACATCTGCCAAGGTGTCCCTGAGCAAGACGCTTACCCCTAGTTGCTCCAGAGGTGTGCGACCCCTGGACCTCTGACATAAATAGATTTGTGTCGCTTTGGATAAAAACGTCAGCTAAATGAATAAATGTAAAACGTATTTATACCATCGGCTCTCATAACTGTCTGCTAGCCTCTTTTGTGGAACAGTTTACACTCCCAACACGTGCTTCTCCTGATTTGGATTGTTCAAGACAATTTGCTAGTGGTCATAGTGGGTGTCACCTGAGGTCACCTGAGTTCAGCTAAATGCGAGAGATTCATGCCGATTTATTTTGCCTCTGCAAGAGAATCCAGATGAATCTAGCCTTAGTAGTCCTACACTTGTTCTGATTGTTCTGTCAAAATATTCTTAAATACCAATGTGCAGATAAACATGGTGTTTGCTAAATGGTAATCAGGTTTGATTTGCTTCTGTCATAGTTTTATATCAACAAATTTATCACATCCGTCAATATATGGATTTTGGCACAATGAGCGCCCCTCTCTCATTAATATCCAAAATGATGATTAATGCAAGGTATAGCTCTCACTCTCTTTTTGTTTTGGTACAAATCAACTGAAACATTGGTGCAAATAAGTAGACATCATGCTGGTATGTATGACTGTGGTGTGTGTGTGGGTGGATGAGTGGGAGGATTGTGTGTGTGAAGAAAGTGAGCAGCGTCCTTTCCACATGAAATTAACATAATTTAAACTTTTATCTGGTGGAAAAAAATGGATGAAAATAATAAGAACCTACACATCAGAAATGTTGGAATCTAGTGGGAATTGAAGCGCTCACAGTGCTCTCGGTGAGTCACAGATAGGAACTGCCTGAACCAAAAACAGACATCAATCCCTCTCTTCCTGTTTTCTCTCAGGCTCCACTGGGTGCTTTTATTTG